AGCTCTGCTCCACTGCGTTCCCACGAGAGACCAGCGGGATCGGGGAGGGACCCTGTTAGAAACGCCGCAAACTGCCAGCAGGGGTTGCCGTTGAGGGACGAGGAGGGGGCAGTTTGCCAAGCCACAACCCAGCGCGCTCCCCGCCTTTGACATCCTAGGATCCTTCCTATGGCCACAGAGAGTAGTCGAGCCACCCTGCTACCCCACATCCCCAATGACTTCAGACTTCTGAGTCTGAAGTACTTGCAGCTAACTTGTACCTAGACGTATGTTCTAATTTGTACTCTGACGTGGAGGTAGACTCGAGTGATTGCAACAAAGTAACAATACACAAATATAGAAATCATAAAGAGTTTTAAAGTACAACAGTATTAAATACATTCTGCCTGTACTGAAGTGTTTCTTGACTTAAAATTTAAGTACGATAACTGAAGTATGAAAGAATTGAATGAATGAAATACTTCATATCGGATCATCATGGTATACCAGCAAAAGTTACAATAACAGTAGCCTAAAATATTGAAACTCATTGTGTTGAGCCCTTGCTGGTGAGCCTGCCCCCATTACAAACAATGTTTTACATGAGTACATGAATAATTTCAGTCTTAGTTTCGAGACTTAACAAAACGTTATCTCTTTCCACATGTTTAAACATCCAAATGAATTTTGGTTTGAAAACAGGAATCACGCGAAAAAATACTGAGCACAAGTTCCTACTAAATATTTCAAAGATATAGAACTTACCCGATGTAGAATTCCATTCATTTATCCGTTGCTGACCTGGTCACTGATGTGGAAGCTCTAACCTTCAAAACTGAGCATGTTTCCTCTTCGCCTACACTTCAATCAGAAAACCGGAACATCTACGACACAAATTTTTGTCTGTGACCACATTATTAGAGATTAACTAATTTGATCAAATGTAACCTCACTAAACGAGATTACAAGCACACGCACACACACGAACGATCATCAGAGACGTAAGAGCGTCAGAGACTAAATAAACAAAACAAAGGAGAAAATTAGAAGAAGAAGACGCTGTCGGCGGGAAGCTGTCGGGAAGCGGAAATTCATTATTCGCACTCACTATTGAGGGACAATAGTGTATGCTTGCCGCGTTTGGTGTTAGTGTTGTATCTTTTGTTTGCTACCTGGCAAGTCTCGAGCGTTATCTGACATATTAATTTATTTTAAGTCCTCGCGAGTAGCTCTTTGTTGTTGTGCGCTACATCATTCTCGCCCTGTGGTTGAAACGAGTGACAGTGGAGTACTTTCCCCTCTAACTCAGTTGGTTCTTTGAAGCGAAGAGCCTTCCTCTGGAGTTTGGAGGTTAGAGTTTAGAAACTCTAAAGGACCGTCGGAACCAGGTACGTCTCAACTGGCTTTAGCGTAGATTATGTAGGACTATGTACGAAATTCGTACTGTGCAGCAGAATATTGAAAAAGAAATTCATTAGTCGTTCCCATTGATGCGCGATATCGTAACTTGTTTTGCGTGATACACCGCAATGTAGTCGCACTTTGCTCGATTTGACCGCTGCTCGACCTTGAAAATCGTATGGCCTCTGGGCCCAACCCAACCTGAGGAAAGAAAGTGTGTCTTTGAGACGCCCAACGGCGTAGGAGACGAAACGTTTGGTATAAATGTCGGGTGGTGCGAGGCGAGACCGCGGCGACGGCCGCGGCCGCGGCGGTGGTGAGAGACTCTGCCTCACTTCGGAGAAGCGATCGGACATGTTGATCGCGAGTCGCACAGACGCTCGCGCCGATCTCTGTCGCTCTGCATAGTGGCGCGAGGGGTATATCGACGCGTGGATCATGTGTTTTCTTGGGGTATTGACTCCCACGCACCGACCACGACGACGACGTCGCGCGCGGGACGGCAAGCCCGAGAGGAAGAAGGGACAGCCGTGCGCCCCCAGAGCGTCGCGACGCATCCAGGCTGATAAACCCCAAGGCGCTGCGGCGGGCGGGGCGGGGCGGGGCGGGCGGCAGGGTTGATTGCAGCTAGCGGGCAATGCGGGCAATGCCTCCATCGTGCACTTGCGTGTGGCCGCTAGCTCCGTCCCGTGCCGCCGCGGAGTGGCGTGGCGTGGCGCGGCCCCAGGTACCCGGCGGTACCCGCGGCGCCCCCCCCCCCCTCTATCTCCGCGTCCTCGACGCCACCCCCACTGCCACGTCAACCCGTCTGTTGTTTCCCCCGGGCAGCAAAGCCGCCCATAGCGCGCCAGCGAAAACTTCACAAATCGCAATTGCCGTGGCCGCTATAAGCTTTGCCGGCCGGGCAGTGTTGCGCGGGCCGTATCTCTGCCCGGGCAAAATAAACGAAATGAAATAAATCATATCTTAATTGTACGACGCGTCAATCAGACGACGCGACCCCTTATCAGACGGCGTGCACTATTTCCCACTCGCATTTGGCGCCTGTGGCGCGTATGCTCGGTATAACCGATGTCTGTTTTCTAAGAGGAAATAGAGAAAACATCGATGAATTCCGTTAGCTGAGGAAAACGTTTTAGATTTTGAGGAAGTTTCAGCAAAATTGAAGTAATCTCCCACATTTTAGAGGAAACTTACTATAAATGTGAGGAGTTCTCCTCAAACTAACGGAGTTTCTTAAAGTTTTCCTCTTTTCCTCTAAAAACATCATACATTGTTTTTAACAGTGTAGACACGGCGTGGTGTGGCGTGGTGCGGGGCCGAGTTCGCAACGGTTCGCAAACCCCGTACGGGTCGCACATCCTTCTCGCTCCACGCAAAGGGCATGGCACGCGCGGCGCGCGGCGCGGAGATTGGAGAGGAGCGGGAAAAAGAATTTGTGTCAAACTCCTATGGTGCTCTGCGGGGCCCTTCTGCGAGCAGCGGAGCGCCGACCGCGTTTGTTTCATCCGGATCCGCAAGCAGAGGTGTGTCGCATGATGTCGCTCAACTTCAGTTTGTGTCCAAATTCTTGGAATTCGACTAGGATCAAGAAACTATTTTTCTGGTTGTGGGATTATTATTATGAATGCTGATTGCTGACTGTACTGTTTGTCCGATCGCCAATGCCAATAAATGTCCGTTTTGCGGGTGTCTTTTGGCGACCATACGGCTGCCTCGCCGCGCTGTCCCAGCTGGCAGTCAGCACCAGCGGCGTTCGGGGCACAGCGACCTGCCGCCCTGGCGGGGCTGGCAACCTCTCTGCTGGGCCTGGTCCGCGCTGTAATGGGCCCGTCGTGATCCGCGGGGCTGGAAGGGTGCAAGGGGGAAGAGAGAGAGAGAGAGGGGGGGGGGGTGTCATGGCTGCATCGGGCAGGGCGGGCAGGGCCCCGGCTGCACCGCCAAGGCTGGGGTCCAGCGGAACTGACCTACCGCGCGGGGCCGGGCGGGGCCGGGCCGACCAGACACAATGCACGGCACGAATTGTGAGTTATGTATTCCCGCCCCGCGTCGCCGTGCTGGGAAATTATTGAGAGATGTTTTCTGAAGCGCGTCGCCGTCGTCGTCGTGGTCCTTGCAGGGTGTCGTCGTCCGTCTCCGCCGTCGCCGTGGTCCTTCTCGTCGTGGACCTCCTCGTCCGTCGCCGCCGTCGGCGTGGTCCTCCTCGTCGTGGTCCTCGTAGGGTGTCGTCGTCCGTCG